TTACTCCATCTGTGTCATCATAGTCAACTCTTCTTAGAGGAGGCAGCTTTTCCCCAGTCATATTTTGAGTGCCTTGCAACTGGAGGAACTCATCTTCTAGCACTATATCTGATACTCTTCTTGTGCTGTTAATAATGGTTTCACCTCTGGCACTTTATTTGACAATGTTCATCTGTTATTCATAAGGTTATCATTGGCTAAACATTCAGAAGCAGTCCACCTCTCCTTCTTCTGAGTCATCTTAGTCCATAAGCTCTGCTTATTCTGGTTCACTGAGGGTGACCCTGATGGCATTTAAAATACTGATGACATATCTTCCAGCATCACAACAACATGCAAGCCACCATAATTTGACAAACTGACAATTGATACTACCTGGTTAATTAATGAAAATCTATGCTAATCCACCTCTAGGAGCAGGCCCTGATGGAGTTAGAATTCAGCTATAAATCATTGGATTAGAATATAAAATTTAGTTCTATATGATACATGGATCAATGCAACACATTGTTGGTATATAATTTTTTGGTTTTGGAGAGGCAATATAATTCAACTAGAGCAGAAATACTTGTGGTTTAATATCTATATGTTTAGAACTGCACAAAGACTTAAAAATGCTGATAAGCAAATTCTTTCTAAATGCTTCTTTTCCAGTCTCAAGAGACAGTGAGCTAGAAAGGAAATACAAATTGGATTTGTAAGATGCATTTCTTGCTCTTTGCTTCCTTTAACATGCTCAAACATAGTAATTATTATAATAGTGAAGGACTGGGTGATATTTCATTCAGTTGTACATAGTGTAGTTATGAGTCGGAACTGACTTGATGGAGCCTAATAAACTGACAACAACATTTCCACTTTCCTAAGACAGAGTAAATTAATGAGGGAAATTATTAAAAACTAGAGTTAAAATAGCAATGAAAAGTCTGCTTCTTGGTCAATAAGTGAAAAACAAACTTTCACCTGACATTACTACGTACATCATATGCTCCAGCCTTGATCTGCTGATAGAGTCTGTGTTGATCTTCATCCCAAAAGGGTGGATATCCCACCAGTAGAATATAGAGAATGACACCTGGAGGAAATTAGCATAGGAAGATAACATATAAGTCATACAGACAACAATAAATGTGACTGATCTACAATGATATAAACTGTATAAATGAACACAGGGAAAGCTGGAGTTGGAAAACTTCAGAAACATTATGAACCACTCTAAAGCGTTCAGCAATGGATGACTGCTCTTCCTCCTATTCTCTGATAATAAGTGTCAAATTCAAGACCAAGAACCAATGAATTTGAAAGAGGCATGGCAGGGCTATAGCTGAAGATGGGACTAATCTGTCACTCAGGGTAACACATCCTTTGGCTTCCCTGAACTCTTGGGTATGTATGACTTTCCTGCCTTCTTGTCTGTAAAGTTGCTATATGAGTTTAGTCAATTTGTAGGTTGATGTTCAGAAACTTAACATGTTACATCATTTTCTTTTACTCTTTTTGCTGGTAGATAGGAAAAGCTGCTGAGTGATGGAGCCCTGAAACTAACTTCATGCTGCATATAGTCGGGGTCCTTGGAATTGTGGATAAATACATACAAAGAGATGAAAATATTTTTTTTCTTTGATGATCTTAATCTGCAGAAATAGAACTCTTCAATAAAATAACTTAACCAGTACTATAACAGAGTAGTATATATTATGCAGACTGTGGTAACTCCATAGGATAAGTCCTTGACTGCAAACCACAAGGTCAGTAGTTCTAGACCACAAGTCACTCTTTGGGAGAAAGACGAGGCTTTCTGCTCCCATAAAGATTACCATCACAGAAACCCTATTCAGGGTCACTGTGAGTCAGAGCTGACACCACAGCAATTAACAACAACAAATGCATATAATAGGAGAAAGAAAGGGAAGAGGAAAATGAAATTTGATTTAAAATTCAGAGAAATACATGTTCAGCCATAGTGCTATTTTATGTTTTCCATAAATATGCAACCATTTTAAATTTACTTAGTTAACAACTGATTTTTCCTTTAATGAAAAAACAACAACAACTTTTATCCATAGGTTTTTAACTTTCTCTGAAATTATCTGGAGTCAAAATGTCTCCTGGAACTATTTTGACACTATGATCCAACGCCCTTTATCAACACTTCACTACGTTCTTTTCAAATACTTTATGGCTCTGCTTGAAAGCTTCTATTTCTTTTCAGGTTCATTATTTTCTAGGGCACTCCTTTAATCTCTCCTGCTTCCTTTTCTATTGCAAAGTCCCTTACACTGTGGCAGCTAGAGAGAGGAGTAAGACAGGTGGAATTTTGCCTCAGCATGCCCTGAGACCTGCCCCCACCCCATTTTTCTGGGTGTCTTGGTTTCTTTGCCTTTTCTTTGTTGGAGAGATCTAGCCCTGCTTTACTCTACTGGTCCTGACATACTGAGACAACACACACTACTTCAGTTAAAATGGCAGCTAGACAAGGAATAACTACCCTAGACTTTCACAGTCTGCTTTAGGCAAACAGTTCACAAATTGATTATTAAATCCTGTCAATCTCTATTAGAATAAAATATTTAAACAATGTTCTTAAAACATTTTATATCAAAATTGAGTTATTCCACTACCGGATCTTGAAAAAAAAGAACATGAAAATACTGCAATATTTTCATACCTCATCTTTGCAACATTAGTGTTTTCCCTCTTTCATTACATTATAGAGGTAATGTGCATTCATTTAAATTTATCTTTATATCATTTCTACTATCAGATGTGATACATGCATCCAGATGCTGTTGCTAATGTGATAATGAGTATGTGTGTCTGTGCTCCCAGGATGCAAGGAGAATTGAGGTTGTACATAAATAGTTTAGCCTTCAGCTGTGGTTCGGGTGGGGAGAGGTGCTTTGCAATGGCATATCTAGAAATGGCATATATTGATGTCATGACATTTATACTGAATCTGGGCATTTTTCTAATAAATATCTGGAGTTAGGCTGTTATTAAATTATAAAACAGATTCATTACTGAGACATTTAGCATTTTAAACCTAGACTAGGATTGCGCACACAGCCCTTAAGGCTGGTTGTTCTTGTGCATCATGTCTGCAATTCTGTATCCTATTTATGATATTTGGTTAGATAAAATTAATCTTGACATTGGGGGAATGAGTCGGGGAGTTAAGTTTAACTATGAATACATTTTAATATTATCTCTACTTTTGTGCATGTTTCAAATGATCTACAATCAAAAGTTAAAAGTTTGACAGACACATTTCCCTATAACATTTTATGCTTTAATGACCTGTGGGACATATATTGGCCACCAACATTTTCAGTCTCTCAGGTTTCTTGGTAAGCTCTCTCCCAGTTGTAGTACATGCTACTACTGCCTGGTGGGGACATGTAGAACTGCTCAAATCTAAATAAACAGACCTCACCCCACCAATCCTATCACCAGAATCTACTTAGGAAATATGTGTGTCACATAAATGTATCCATATTACCTCAAAAGTAATTTCCCCTTGATTTCAGTATGCCTTCCATTACTGAAAGCACATGGTATTAACAAAATATTAAATAATTCAGTGATAAAAGGGTAAAAAATGGAAGTAAAAGCCATTTTCATTACCATATTATATACTTGTGTTTGGGATTTACGAGACATGTTTGATTAATAAGAGTTTTGAGAAGCACTGGTTACTGATTAAGTAAAAGTCTACATTATTAAGAACATTCAAAACTGATTTTAATAAAAGCTAGAGTTAGAAAAATGATTAAATCCCATAATCACATTAGTGATAAAAATATTCTGAAGGTTCACCTTATAAAGGCAACAAAAGATGAAGAAACACCTTGAAAAACTCTGAGAAGTTAATAAAAAGTTAAAGGAATAATCTAATGAAGACACGCACCCAAAACAATTATTAAGTAAAAAGGTACAAGGTCAGCAGTTCGAAACTACCAGCTGTTCCACAGGAAAAAGATGAGGCTTTCTTGTCCCGTAAAGATTTACAGTCTCAGAAACACTATATAGGATCACTGTGAGTTGGAACTGATTCCATGGCACATAACCACCACCAACAAACATAGAACTGTGGGTTAATGATCTGGGCTATAAGGTGAGTTTGAACTGAAAGGTCAACGGTTCAAGCTCACCAGCCTCACCTTGGAAACCCTATACAGGGTCGCTATTCATCTGATAGAACCAACTCAGTGCCACTTAACAACAACAAACAACTGAGTATCTAAGGAGTCCTTGTGTGGCAATGTAGTAGAAAAACACTGATCAGCATTTTAAGCAAGGTCAGCATTTTAAGCACACCAGCTATTCCTTGGAAACTCAGACCAGGGTCTCTATGAGTTGGACTCAACTCGATGGCATTACAACAACAACAACATGAGGATCTATGTAAAATGCATGAGAAATAGGAAATGCACAATTAAATGTGTGTGGCATGTATGACTTTTATCTTGCTGTAATGACTTAGGTAAAAAAACAAAAAAAAACAAACCAAAACACACCCCATCACATAATTCAAATAGACAAAGTGCTAAACCAACACTTTATGACCAATAGGACCAATGAGAGGCAAAATAAAGAGGTAGATGAGCAAAGCCTACAAGATAGTAAGTTATTTTTTACAGGACAGAAACTAATCTGTATCATGTAGTTGTTGTTGTTAAGTGCCGTCGAGTCAGTTCCGACTCATAGTGACCCTGTATAGGGTTTCCAAGGAGCAGCTGGTGGCTTTGAACTGTCAACCTTGTGTTTTGTAGCCCAGTGCTGATCATTACAGACCTTTGGGGACAAGGCAGGCATAAATGTCTGTGCCTGTCATGTGCATGTGGTGGAACTGGTCACCAGGAGAACAAAATGTGTCCCAACTCTTTGACAGATACATGTGCTATAAAAGAACAACAGCATCATGCTTTCAGCTTTTCCAGTTGCACAACAGAAGCCAGAAACAGGTTTTCAAAAGAAATCTGAAAATAAATTATAAAGACCAATAATAAATGTCAATACCAAAAAACCCCAAAAGGCTAAGACTTGTGTTGTTCTTGTTGTTAAGTGTTGTCAAGTTGTTTCTAACTCACAGTGATTCTGTATAGGGTTTCTAAGGAGTGGCTGGTGAGCTTGAACCACTAACTTTGCACTCCAGCACATTAACCCACAGCACCACATCAGGACTCCTGAGACTTGTGTGGGTCACACATTTTCAACTTCTGTCATATTGTATTAAAATCCTCAAAATAGTTGAACACACATCTGCCCCGCATTACTGTTATAAAGGCGTTTGCCATCTAGGTAGAGCAGTGCTTCTCTACCTGGATGGGCATCACAGGCAAAGCTGATTAAAATGAAAACTTCTGACCTTCATCCTAGAATCTTAGTCAATGCATCTGAAGTAGGTTCCAAGAAAGTGCAGTTTGTACTATTGGAAGTATGGGGTCCATGGTCCACAATTTGAAAAAAATAACAAATATATATATATAATATTTGTTGTTGTTGTTGTTATTAAGTGCCATAGAGTCACTTCCAACCCATAGCAACCCTGTGTAGGGTTTCTGAGGAGCCACTTGTGAGCTTGAACTGCCAACCTTGCAGTTCAAATGACTTTGCAGTCTGGCGCATTAACCCACAGCACCACACCAGGACTATATATATATATTATTGCTAATGTTACTGCTTTTGTTGTTAAGTGCCATCAAGTCAGCTCCAACTCATAGTGACCCTGTGTAGGATTTCCAAGGAACAGCTGGTGGATTTGAACTGCCTGCCTTGTGGTTCAAACTGATCTTGCAGTCCAGTGTATTATCCTGAAGTGCCACAGCAGGACTCAGTGTTTGAGTTTGGAGTAAGAGATTATTAGCTTAGACCATGACATGGGACAAGGCTTCATGGTTGAAGACTGACAAGAACATGGGTCATAAAGCATGAAGGCTGTTGTTATTGTTAAGTGCTGTCAAGTCAGTTACAACTCACAGCAACACTGTATAGGACTTCTGAAGCTGTAAATCTTAGCAAGAGCAGAAAAAAACTCATCTTTCTCTTGTTAAGCGGCTGGTCACCTCAAACCGC